ATTATTTGAACGACACACATCCTTTTTACGCATACTTTACTTTACTTTTAACAACATGTAAAAAAATTCCTTGCTCTATCTATTGTTAACACATATGATTCTCAATTTAATTAAAGCAATTATTTAAATTATTTACGCAGTGTACACCGACATTTTCAAAGTCGTTCGAATAGTTATGAGCAACAGCGTAATTACTGATTGTAGTAAAGTAAATAAGTGTTCGAGTACTTTCGAGTGACAATGCAAATTAAAATGGATAAATATATGTTATATTACAGGAGTCGAGGCGGGTGATACCGCTATTAAGGTAGCTAGGCGTTGGGGCTATAGAATAAAGAAGATACCTCCAGAACAGGCAACCGTTGTCTTTGCAAGAAATAACTTTTGGGGACGTTCCATAGCTGCGTTGTCTGCATCTACGGACCCAAATTGCTATACCGATTTCGGACCTTATGTTCCCCGCTTCGACAAAGTGCCGTACAACGATCTTGAAGCTTTGGAAGAAAAACTTAAACTGAATCCAACCATTTGCGCGTACATGATGGAACCGATTCAAGGAGAAGCCGGTGTCGTAATACCTGATGTGAGTTATTTTCAATAAAATTTGTATAGAATGATCTATTGTAGAATCATCGTAAAATCAATTAAACAGTAGAATTTCATTTATTTGAACTCACCGTTCAAATAATGAGAATAAAGTCATTTGTAATTCTCCTGACTTTTCTCATGCTTGTGCATCTTCTGACGTACACCGTCTTTCCAAATAATTGTATGACTTTATTCATAGGACAACACAGAATGACAAAAGATAGTAAAACTTAAACGTATATAATTAATACTCCTTTCGGATTATATAGACCAGAGAATAATTTCAATAACTGGAGTTCTATCTCTTTATCATAAAATTCTTTGGAAGAGCATTTCTTGATCTTTCCAAATCTTCAACTTTCATATGCAGGATGGTTACCTGAAAGGTGTACGAGACCTGTGCAACGAATACAATGTATTATGGATTGCTGACGAAATCCAAACTGGTTTGTGTAGAACAGGCAAACGATTGGCGGTAGATCACGAAAATCAACGACCAGATATTCTCGTGTTGGGAAAAGCATTGTCTGGAGGATTGTATCCTGTTTCTGGTATTTTAGCGGATGAACAGGTAAGCGTAATTTTCGAATCTTTTCCTAGTCTGCGAAAAAAATGGATTTTTATTACTTACTAATAACATTTTTCTGATGTTTCTGAGAATTTAATAAAATTTAAGATCAGTCTCATCTGAACCATTCCAATCATTTCATTAAAAAATGAAATGCTGCACATATGTAACAGCGAATGCGGAAAGATTAAAAATTTGTATGAACAAGTATTAAACGTAGCGTCACATTAATTCAATCTGAATCTGCCATCAGATAATTATGTGCTTAGAAACCGGGTCCCACGGTAGCACTTTCGGTGGAAGTCCACTTGGTAATAGAGTTGCTCTAGAAGCAGTTAAAATTTTGGAGGAGGAAAATCTTGCAGAGAATGCGAACAAGCTTGGACAAATTCTACGACAAGAATTACAAAAACTTCCGAAAGACATAGCGGTAGAATTTCGAGGTCGAGGCTTGTTGGCTGGTTTAATAATCAATAAAGGTACTCCTTCAAGTCTGCGATGATACTTCGCTTCTTTTATTAATTTCTAATATTCCTCAGATTTTGCCGAAGGATGGGATATTTGTTTGAAATTGAAGGAAGCAGGTTTGCTGTCTAGACCCGCTCATGGTCAAATAATAAGGGTATCACCTCCACTCACGATCACAGAAGAACAACTCCAAGAAGGTCTCCACATACTCACCACTGTCCTCAAAAACTACAAATGAATTAGTTATCATTATACAGGTTTATACAGATCTATCATCTTGCACAATGAAAAATTATAACTCCTAATCTCCCTGCCTTAAAAAGTATATAATAATACAAAGTATCATCTATTTTTGTAAATAAATAATCGATTTATAAAAAATAAATTTATTTCTAAATTGTTCCCATTTCTAATTCGATGGATTATACCTAATATATGATATTAGTATGATGCCAATATAAAATATCTTTAGTCATTTAAAATGGAGGAAATCAGTGATCGAAGGCAATATTAAAAATTTATATACATAGAACTGTATATTTGTAAGATGATATGTACATACGAAAGTTGTATACATATCGATTAAGTATGCGAATCGTGTCTTTTTAAATGCCTGGTGAGGCTAAACGCTTGAGAGAACAACTGATTACATTGATGGCATTTGTACGATTTCGTACCATTGTGCAAAATCAGATGTCTCTTCAAATGATTCGCGAGTTTAAATCGCTTCCCGCACAATCGACATTGATGTTGTCTAACGGTGGTATGGGACACTTCATGATTTTTCAAATGGCTCGATTGCGAGAACCGCTTTCCACATACTTTGCATTCGAAAGGTTTTACTTTCGTGTGAATTCTCATATGTTCCGCGAGATTGCCTTTCTGTGCGAAACATTTGTTGCAATACTCGCACTTGTGTGGCCTTGTTGCTTTGTGCGTTCGTAAATGGATCTTCAGATTGTAATTTCGGCTAAATGTCTTGTCGCATATTTCGCATCGTACTAGACCTTTGCCAGTGTGAAGTCGTTCGTGAGCTTTCAGGTTTTTTAATAAACGGAATTTCTTCTTGCAGTTAACGCATTCGAAAGTTTTATTCTCTTCGATCTTCGCGTTGTTGTTACTGCTTCGTTTATGTGTTTTCAAGTGTTCCCGTAGATAAGATGGATATGCAAATATTTTATCGCACATCTTACATGGATGTACATTAGTTTTCGTGTGTAGACGCATATGAGCATTTAGTTTGCTCTTCGACGAGTAACCCTTCTCGCAACTGAGGCACTTGAAAGGCTGCTGGCCAGAGTGAGAGAATCGATGTGTCAACAATTTCGATTTTTGAGAAAATGACTTGCAGCATACATCACATTTGTACTTTTTCACCTGTACCTGTTGTACTGTTACAGAATGTTCGTTTTCGATTTGCTGCTTGCTATAATTAAGATTCGAAGGGTATGACTGATATCTATCGATACTTTCTCTGTTGTCCGTACGTTCGAAACTTTTCGCAAATTTTGCAGCACGACAATTATCTATGTTGTACGAGTTCGAATCAGGTATCGTTGTATTTCTTATTCGAGAGCCACATTCTCGAACTTCATCTCCTAGATCCATATTTTCTGGAAATCCCAAGGTTTGCATCTCGTTATTATCGTTTGTCGTTGACCTGTGATAAGACAAATTCTGAATAGAATTCCCAACGGAATTAATCGATCTCTCGTAACTTAGGTTTTGTGGAATTTGATTCGAATTCTCACAGATATCTATATTCTCGTTATCGCAAGGCATTTCGATGCTTTCCGAAGTGTGAGTAATACTATGACTTATTAATTGGTGCCGATTGGTGAACGTGCGATTGCACAGAGAACAGTGTAGCGCGCAAGCAGCTCGACTAGGATTTTCTCCGTTCGTTGGAATCATTTGCATCACGTTCGATCTAATTAATGGAGATAACTGCGCATGTTGAATGCTCTCGTTAGTTAAATTAGTGCTCAAGTGACCAAAGTTAAAGTTGAAATACGGATTCTGCGATTCCACTATGTGCATATGTTGCATTGGTATATCATCTTGGACAAAAGGCAAATGTGACCTGCTGTGGGTACAGAGATCCTGGTAATTTGTAAATACTGCTCCACATTCTATGCACTTCAATGTCTTATGGGAGTTTTGTATAGGCACAAAACCTTGGTTTTGTTGATATAATTTGTAACCTGCAGCATACGATGTTAAACCTGAAACCTGTATTTCAAAAGTTCATATTCTTTTCTAAATGAGATGTGCATGTGATCATGAATAGACTGTGAATGTTTATGCAATTTTATACTTTTATAAAGATAATTTAAAAGTGGAACCTAAATAAAAAATTATTTTACTTGCAGTGTTATAAGAAATATTATACTTTGAATATTTTATATATTTTTGTATATTACATATTTGTGCTTATGTTTGCACTTTTAAATTTTTCATAAATGTATAAAAATTCTCTTAGTCTAATGATTAAAAGTGTAAGCATAGACCAGATTTTCTTATAAAATTATATACAGAAGGTGGACTCAATATAGGCACTTGTACAAAATTCAAATTAAAACATTCAAATTCAATCAAGCGTATCTAAAATGCGATTGGAATAAAAAAAGATTCTTACTCCAGGCAAGATCTTAAAAGAAGAGTTGATCTATACCAAACATTGTGGTAAATCTTATTACCTTTAAAACAGCTTGTCTTAATGCTCTGTCAGCTGCACGACATTGTTCTCTGTACAATAGAGCTGATTCCGCTCTGGTTACACAACGGTCACACATTTTCTCTGGAAGACCATCGCCTTGCCAAACCTGATTTCAGACGTAGAAAAATCAAGTTTCATATTCGTTCTAATCAAACAATCACGAGTTTGAAAATTTGTATTACTTCGAGACAGGAGAGAGATCGTAATTTAGCAGCAAGGGACGACTCGGCCGGACCCACGAATAAACAAACCATTTTATCGCCATCCTCTCTTAGACACGTACGACATAATTTACCAATATTTTCGCTGTCAATTTCTTTCGTAACGATAAACATCTTTACGCTTTGACAGCTAACCTCAAAAGTTGACTGACGCGAACTTCTCGCGACTCATAGGTTAGGATTTTGTTTTGACGTTTACAAATTGCGCAACAGTAGATGTCACTGATGAAGCCGATTTATTATAAAACAGAATTTGTAAATTTTTATACATGCATTTCATGGAGCAAGTGGAATATGAAAAGAAAATCGGGGATTCAATTTAAAGGACACAGTTGTGAGACTTCACTCTTTAAAATAAAATCAAGTTAATTATTCTACAATTTGTTTCACGAAATTATAACAGTTTAAAGTATTGATTAATTTTCATCTAGTGTATGAATATTTTCGTTCTTTTTAAGAATTTCTCATGAATTTTGTGTATTTGATTTGAATCAGAATTTTTCATTTTTTAATCTCAGTTAACATTTCATGCCAAATGCGCGCGTATTGGGTTTAAATTAGATAAAGATTACAACGCCGACAGTGAAATCACCAATCATTTCTTACGATTCTTGAACATAATCGATATTTCTCACGATCGATTTATATAAATCTGCTGTCAATAAATTTATTTTTAGACACATGACAATAACATATTTATTACTTTATATAAGGAAATACTTAGAAATATTATATATAGAATTATAAAGAATATACAAATTATATAATATTTCTGTATATTTAGAATTATCATATATAAAATTATATAGAGCATATAAGTTATGTATAGAATTATATGAACTATATTGTATACAATATATATCGAACAATTTTGCAACTCTCTACTCTCTGTTATTTAATTGCGTAGTACAGTTGAACTTATACGATAGTTGTATTTCAATTTTGCGCGCGTTTTGTATTCAAATGTATCGCACCGTTCAACC